TTTTTTTAAGATTTATACCATAATAATTAAGGACGATTTTCATTGTATTTTGAAATATCCTGATTCTGTAAAAAAACATATCATTAAAATTTTTTATTTCATAAGCTTTCCTTCATTTGTGTTTGTCATATACATATTGATGTAATTATTAAATTTATTAACTGTCGAATAGTGTTAAAAAATAAATATTTTTTAATCGAGCGAAAAAATATTAATTTGTAAATGAAATGTTTTAAAGCGTTTATTTTAAAAATTTATTTATTCGGAAAATTAACTATAAATAACTAAATTTAATGTGAAATATCAATAGAGTTCAGCACTCTACACTGTTTATAAAATAATAATTGAACAGCATTTACATCATTTGTCCGGAAGAAAACGAACGAGTATATACGGTGAAAAGAAGGTGATTTTACCGTGAGTTGACGGTCGAACGATCGTCGAACCGTAGTAGGTCCACAGTGATATCACTATGAGTTTATGAGGTGTTCACTTTGAAAAAATCATTTTTCCGCAGTAGAAGCATGTCATACTGACAACATAAATGCTAAGGTTCCACGAATTACGAACGGTCTTTTCATCATAGAACTGCTGATAAGTCAACATTTATTTACCATCTGTAGTTCGTGACGCAACAGAACGAATACACTGTTTTTCGACAGTGATTTCACCCTACTACAACCCTAACTAGATAGTGAAATAGCCGTCACGTGAAACGACCGTGAATCGACCATCTTTTCACTATGGAGTCACCGCGGATTTACCGTAAGCATGAAACCGCCAGGGTTACTTTCGCATAATAAAGAAGTATATAGTGCTTCTAATTTAAGAGGATTCTCTGATTTGATGGTATGACTTTTACGCATTTTTTTTTTTTTTTCAAGGACCAATGAAACTATAGGACTTTAAAGTTGTCATCAGTTATTCATAAGTATTTTTAGAGTATACATACACATTTTTTGATGAATATAATTATTAGAACCGAGGTTATAGAACTCTGAATGAACTGTTATCACAAAAAAATTTTGAAAATTGAATTTTTCATCGACTTTATAACAAAAATTTCAAGTTAAATTTTTATACGTCTACTTTTTGTTAAAAAAATTTTAAATATTTTAAATTATAGTTCAATGGTTTACTTAGTTAACAACTATTTACCTTGTGCAGTTTTAGTAAGGAATCGATAGTTGTCGTTCCGATGCTCGATTCATTTTTATCTCCACATTTATTGTTGAAATTGTTTCTAAAAAAATTACTGAGTAATTTTTTCTCTTCCTCAATAATGTGACTCATGTTTCCAGAAATTTCGTTATAGATCTTAATTGACTCCACAGCTGCTTGTAATTCTTCATTCAAAGGTTCTGGCGACTGTTTTTCAATCAACGTTTCGTTCAAAGCATTTACGATGTTTTCATATTCTAACATGTCAAAATTATCGTCTTCTACCATATACGCAAATGCTTCATCATTTATAATGACTTCTTGTAATGATATATCAGTCGACCAGTCAGTAAAGTCCATTATTATTTCAGAGTTAATTAACTCGTCACAATTAAGTTGAGTTTGGGAAGACTCAACATCAACATCTTTTTGATTATCTCGCTCAAAGTCGTCAGACATTCCAACAGTTGAAGGATCCGCGCTTTCCATTATTTCTTCATCCGCACTGTCAACAACCTTCAAAAAAGGTAGATTCTGTATTTATTAATAGCATCATGAGCAGTTATGTATTTTACACAGAGAGAAATGAATAATTTCAATAATTATTGAAATGAATAATTTTAATTATTATTTTTTTTAATTGTTACTAGCCTTGTAATGTTATTAACTAAAATTAATTTTAAGTAATAATTATCATCACGCCAGTAATAGTTATCATAATGATACTGATAGTCACCATCACGATAATATTAGTAGTTACCATCTTTAGAATTTCAATTTTTTTTTATTGACAAGAGGGTTACCATTACTTTCTTCATGATAAATATTACTACTGGAATGGTAACTATTACCATCAATTACTTATAGTTAATAAAATTCCCAGACTAATAAATACTGAACAATATAATAATAATTGTGTAATTATTTATTTCTTTCTGTGTAATACTAAATTATAAACATTTTACGGAATTAATTCATTTGATAGAATGTTTCTTAGTTTTGTCTTAAAATATGACGCTTAGTCTATATATTTTTAAAATGTTTTCAAAGTATTAACTTCGAAACGTCCGTTTTTGAAACCTACTTTCATTGTTAACTAGCCTCGTCACATTTTTCATAACGAGTCCTCAGAGCAAATCATGTAATCAAATTTTAGAAGTCTCTATCGCTTTTCACATTTTTTGTAAATCAATATTATACTAATTTATTACCTGCTCGTTTTCAAAATCGTCCTGAAGCTTTCTCTTGACATTATCCAAATGGCTCCTATCATTAGAGATATCTATATCGAGGTCAGATCCATCGACAACAGTAACCATATCGTCATCATCATCATCATCATCATCATAATCACTGTCACTGTTATCAGCTAACCCTGGATTATCTTCGATTTCGATTTTAAAGGACTCTTCGTAGAAACGCTTGTAATCTTCCATTACTTTTCTCTCCGTATGATCAACACATCTACTCTAACGTTCTGGGGTAACTTGGGATAAAGCTTCAGACCAAACTTCCATCGCTTTCTCCTCGGAATAGTCACATTCTGGTGCCATATGGGCATCATAGTAGCGCTTACACTGACCCCAAACCAATTCTATAGGGTTGTAAACATAACAATACGGCGGCAATCTTAAAATCTCATGTCCGCTTTCCTGGATCAACGAATCTATTTCATGGCTGGTTGGTTTTTTGTAATTCTGACATAACTTAAGAAGATCATCTCTGCGAGATCTTGGGTCATGCGGAATTTTATTTTCAATTAACCATTCAATCAACTCATCCTTTTTCCAAGAAGATACCGGTTGTTTTTCCGACTAAAAAGTTAAACTTAGTTAATAATTTAAGCATCATACACTTAAGAAAACAGATAAACGAAAACCATTAAAAAAAGTTAATGATGCAATAAAAATTAGGTTGAAAAAGTTCACTAACAAATTAGTTGTTAATTATAACCATGATAATTCCATTTAATTAAATAAATAATATGACAGATTTTAGTATCCAAGTGTTTAAGAGCGGTTGATAGTTAATTTTCAAACAGTTTTATTTATATATAAGATATAATTTCAAAAAAAGCGCTTCGCTCTTCGATAGATAATTTAATTATAAATTATCTATCGAAGAGCGATGCGCTTTTTTTGTCAATTTTTATTTATTTATGTATAAAATGGTTTTGAAGATTCCATTTGTTGTACAAGTATGACAAAGAAATTTCCGTATGACCAATAGCGGGCGATTGAGAAAAGTGTAAGCCCTCCTTAAGCACAAAAACAAAATAGATATTAATTTAAAAGCTATGAAGACAATAGTATATTACACACTTTGGGCAGTACTATAAAAAATGTTACAGATCACATGTAATTGTCGATCGAGGCGAAGCTGAGATTGACTAACATGTGATCTGAGGCCTTTTATTTGTATATTTCCCAAGGACTGTACACTATTTTTCAGTCTTACGGAGGAAGAAAGCGGCATCATCGTTTAGCGCAGCGAGCCGACAGTCACCACTTTCCGCCCAGAGGGAAAAAAGGACAATTGTGTTTGAATACCGTTTCCTCATGCATCAACACTCTCAAAAAATGAACAAACACAATAATTGTATATGTTTAATTATTCTCACCATTCCATGAACTATTTGTTGATGGATATTGCAAAGTTAAATTTTATTGCAATATTATACTGAAGTTCATAGTGAGCATGAAATCCATTATGACTAAAATCACATAGATTTTTACGTCTGTTCAATATTATAGCAGTATGTCAATAATCACGTATTTGCTAAAGCTAAACTGTCAGAGTTAAAAGTAATTACAATATCTACGGTAAAGTATCTAGTAGCTGTTCAGGAACCTGTACCTGCCCACTCTTTGTATTTGTATATCTATATTCACAAATTCAAGTATACAAATACATGGCGTTAGTAAGTAATGGTTCCTGAACAGCTACTGGGTATTTTACCATATATGTCACTTATATTACCTGCGTGGAATGGTAAGAGGCATTGTCCATAACAATTACCGATGGTTCTTCTATATTTGGCAACAATTTTTCGGTCAACCATTTTTTAAACATCTCCGCATTCATATCACCATGATAGTCGTCATATTGTTTAGGTTTTTTTTGGGTGTTTACAATCAGAGAAGCGCCATTAACAAAACCATCTCTTCCTCCTGCATGACAAACAATATACCGTGGCCCAGTTGAAGCTTTCTTTACCGAAACGCTTCGAGTGCTAGAATCCTGCCACTCATGAGTCTTCCCGGTACCATTGCGGAAAGTCCAGGATTCATCTTGAAAAATAAATCGTCTGTTTTGTTCTAAATAATTTTTATATTTTCCAAGATATTCAATCCGGGCCGCAATGATGTGTGGTTGTTCCACTAAATACCGGTTGTTATTCCTTTTTTTATGTTCAAACCCAATGTCGTGCAAAAACTTACGTAAGGTTGAAACCTTCCCATAAAATGGGATATTATTTGCTCTGCAATAAATTGAATTCAATTTTATAAACAGTTTTAAATGCTAATAATGAAATATATGTAAAGAAATGAGGTCAATGTGTCCCTTGCGGCCTTGGGTTCATGATGTTTACACCGTCTCTGTAAATACACTATGTATGTAAAAATAGTGTATACATTGACTGTACATCGTGTATATAAGGTTTTTTGGGTTAATTTATAAAATTTCAATGTAACAGTGAAGACCAGTGTTCGATTTGACCGTGTACTCAGCATTTTATTTATTCAAACAATAAATTGGTACTGAAGTTGTCACATATTATCGAAATACACACGGAGAAAAAAACACTGATGACTATTTTGTGCAGTACTCAGTACTGTTTTGGAAGAAAATAAGGTTAAAAGGTTTGGAACAGTAGAGAGCGCTACATAAAAACTACTGACTAGTGTCTGCACACTACTGAGTCGTGTTCTGGCACTAAGCAGTCGTGTTTCGTACAGCACTCACTACTGACTATGAACATTTTCCTAATATTTGTACGAAACAGTAATCATTACTGTTTTATTTTCTCCGTGTACAATATCAGAAATAAAATTTCCTCACCAACTTATTTTTTTTAAAGTACAAATTTTTGTAAATATATACCCGGGAAGAAATGATCAGACCTCACCTTGTCTGTTCATGTATGATTAGGCCTGAAATTAGACATTATCATGCCTGTTCATGTCTGAAGCGTCAAATACGCTCGGGCCTGATCAAGCCTGTTCATGTCTGAAGCGTGGAATATGCTCAGGCTCGTTCATGCCTAGAAAAGTTAATAAAAAATACTTTTATTTCTTGAATAGTAATATATACCGTTTATTGATAATTTACAAATTTATTAACTATCGAAATTAATGTACATTATACACTGAACATATTCAAAAATATTTTCTCAGCATATTTGGTTCTTAGCATGAACAGGCATGGTCAGGCCTGATCATTTTTTCCCGGGTAGCCTATAACCATCTACAATTCATTCCGCGTCGAATGGTCCTAATCCCATGTCAATACGTTCAGTAGTTTTTGCGTGATTGACGGTCTACGAAACCCACTTTCAATACATAAATATATGAAAAATTGATGTGGGTACTCAAATGAAAGGTCTCGAATAGTGTAATGTTGGGATGAGTTTATATTTTTAAAAATGTCAATAGTTCACGAGATACAAGGTCATTTCCTAATTATTGATAATTTTAAAGATGTAAGCTCATCCCGATGTTGCACTCATCAAGAGCTTTGATTTGAGTACCCACATGCATTTTGATATATTTTTCATAT